ATTTATTTGACCAGTCTAGACGGGTTAAAGGACATACGGACTAGTCAGAACATAATGCTCTGGAATATCTTGGACCAGTCTAGATGGCTGAAAGGACATACGGACTAGTCATAATGATGCTTTAGAATATATTGGACTAGTCTAGACGGATAAAATGACAAACGGACTAGTCATAACGATGCTCTGGAATAGCTTGGACCAGTCCAGACGGGTAAAAGGACATACGGACTAGTCACAATAGATGTGGAAGACGTATTAGACTAGACTTGACGGGTATAGCAGACTTTTTGGACTAGTCATGCCGCCCGTCCTCCCTATTTTTTTGCTCACTTGGGATAGAGCGAATCCCAAAGACGATCATTGGTATTTGTCAATCTAACTTGTTTATATTGCAATCGGCGGTCAAGTAATCGATCAATTCCAATTGGGTCATGTAAGCCTTCATACCCTTCTTCAACTCGCAAAACCATTGTAATTTGATCCATAGTTTCACTCAAGAGATTCTTGTAGGCATTTTCAGTCAGAGCAACCATGTTCTGAGCATTGGAATGAAATTGAGACTTGATCTGAGTGTAAATCGATGTGCTCGTAATATGTTCTGTAGTAACCTCCACATTTCTCGATGTTGTTTGTTGAGTGTCTAATGAGTATTGAATTTCGAAATTCGGTAGACGGCAACGAGAGATGATTGAATCTTGAAAACTTTCACAGATGGACATATTCAATGTATATATAATAAATTCCATCGTCTGTCGAAGTGGTGTATTACTATACCATTGATTATCCAAAGTGTACTTAATTTGTGACTCTTTTGTTCGATTTCCTTTTTCAAATAGACGGATGGAGTGCATTGGCAAAAGTGAAGCAGAACAATGTTCAGTGCGACAAATCTTTTGATGTTTTTTAATATGACTTTCAATCGATTCCAATAAATCTGTAGTATAAAGCGAAAGAACCAATGTGAGTTCGGTACGACCACTGAAATCATTGTAGTTACATGCAGTATAATTTGGTTCGATATATGGAAATGGTGTAAAGAAAAACTCGGATGCTTTTTGTTTATTTTTTAATAGAATGACCTCACCATCTTGATATTTAAAACGACCAATACTAGTTATTACTATGGTTTCGTTTTGTATATAATGTTTGATAATAGGTGAATTATGAACAGCAGTCATAGAGCGCTTCCATTCATCTTGCCCAACAGTGTTAACAATTATCAAAACCATGCCCAGAAAAATTCGTGTAGATAACAACTGCATTTTCTAAAAGTAGATAAAAAAAAGTTGCTGACTGCTACTCGAACATGTAAAATTCAGCAACATAATATCAGAGATAGTCTGATCCACACTCATTATTTGATACATTCTCAGTTGTCTATGTATAGGTATAGGCGGTGTTATATATAATTGTAATAATAACAAACAAAATCAGATCTGATTATTGCTAAATTGAAAAAAAACAGTAGTTCACTGAAATCTTTGTAATGAATCTATAAATGTTGTATTAGAATAAAAGTATATTTCGAAACTGAACTGAATTCACTGTAAGTACCGATTGTGATAGTTTATTTATTAAAAATATTCTTTGAAATATAATGTCTGTTGATTTGTTATCTGAAAATGAAAATTTTCTTAAAATTCAGGTATCATGGCTCTAGAATAATTCGAAATCCATAAATGTTTTTACTATGTTTAAAAACTGGAAGTCCTAATGTTCATTAATATAATACACAAAATAACAAATAGAAATACCATTTTACTTATAATTTATACAGTTAACATTTATTTTGAATATATTAGAGCATGATGAGGGTGATATAATTATTTTTGAACTGGAAGGATTGAATAAGTTTAATAAGTAGATTTAAACTAATTTTCAAGCAGTTATTATTTGTTAAATTCTTAGTTTTTATAGAAGTTATTAATATAGATTATTACTAAAGTACTGTAAATATCTGATTTTTTTGTAACTTATCTTTTTTCTTTTCTCAATCATTCTATTGCGACGAATGTCGATTACATGAAGCAAAAGGAAGAAAATAACATCGAGACTTACTTCCGTTAGCTATTCTAGAATAATCTTGATATGAATGTATGTTTGTCTCTCTATAGCATACGATTGTATTTATACATATTAGAACTTTGGGTACGATGAGAAATTCTTAGCTCGTCCATCATTTCCAGGAAACATTCACTCATGTTAGCACGTTATTATAGGGATTGATACTATCATTACTTTTTTAAAATGGTGTTCTTATCGATGTCGCTGACATAAGAGATGTATTTCTGTATCTACTTTCAGATTTATCTTTATGGTATCATGTTTTCTATGAGAAGTCCAAGAGATCAAAGTATTCTGTATCATAGGTAATGTAGGAATAACCACGTATGTGCAGATGTGTCAAATAAAAGAGAGAAAGAAAACTAGAGTATAATATTAAGATATAATCGTCAGAAAGAGATGTAGAAAACATATCAAGAGAATCAACTTCTACATCATCGCTTTGACAAGAAAAACATGTCACAGCTAAATATTTATCTTTTTAAAGATGTGACTGGAGACAGGACAATTAAATGAAATCAGCAAGTAATGATGCATTTATATTAGACAAAACAGAAATAAAAAATGACACATGAAGGGAGATCCTAAAGTGGTTTATGGAGAAAAAACTTCTGAATATATGTGACACGTATTCCATAAATTGATTGAATTTTTACTAATGAGAACGAATTTGTGCTAATGTGTAAATACGATATATTTTAAGCGGTATGGAAAAACCTTAACTAAAACGAACTTTGTGCAGTCAGTGAAAAGTGGTCAAAATGCAGAAGAGATCCCAGCTTCTTAGGTGCGTTTTTGATTGTATAATACTCGCCCATGTTTTCCCATCAAACGACCGGGGTTGACTAGAGAGACTTGTAAATTATTTTCGCTTGATCCCTTAAGATATATAATATGTCTTTTTAATTGTTCCGATTCATCGTAGTCGTAGTTTTCAAAATTGAATATACTCCTGGGAATAATTAAGTATTCTTCTTCTTCCGGAAAGTTAGAAATCCCTGAAATGTCGCGTCCAATGTTAATCAAACTGCCATGGCGCTTCTCCTTTACGTTGAGATCGATAATAAGTAAAGTATTTCCATAAATTTCAGCTAATTTTCGATTTTTACTTGTCGATGTAAATGTGGTAAATCGCATCTCCTTCTTCATGAAATTTTTTCGTTCTTCATCGGTTAGAGTGATACCACGATATACAATCGAAGGAAATGAATTATCACCTTGGTCGTTTATATATGAACGTAATAAAACGCAAAACGGACCGATCGTGTTAACTTTTTTTCGTGTCATCGTTGAGAGATCTCGAATAACGCTATTGATTAGTTTATACCAAAATGTCTCTCGCGTATAGAGATAAACCAGAGTCTTACCAATTTCCGATGGAATAGCATTAGGACCAAATTGTATATTTTCACCATAGTTTTTCACGTTATTTAATTGTCGTGCTAACCATCGCGCTTTTTCTGCTTCTCCGATTGCAATTCCTTCTTCAATTATTCCACTCGAAGCCTCTTGGATTAGGTCACTAATTGTTTTCTTATTATCAGCATTTTCAAGCTCTCGATAAATATCATCAAGCGAACCTTCGTTCAGCCAATATTTCAGTAAATCATCTGCTCCTAACATTTTTTGATCGGAACATGTTGTCGTTATTGTTGTTGAAGTAGAAATTGTTATCGGAGATGAAAATCTATCTTCTCTCAATTGTACATTTGTAAGGTGTTTATCAAACTGATCGCGTTTCATTGGCCATCGCTCATGGGAGTTCTTTTTCTGTTGAACCTGCTGTTTCAAATTAATCGTATAACCACCGTCAATGTCGACATACTCCTGTTTTTCATTGTGAGCATCTTCAATAATTTCATTTTCAACATCCAAATATTCTTCCCATGTCTCATCAAATGATTTCCAATACCATTGAAAATTACGTGGACGCTCATAGCAGGGTACACAAGACTGCGCCATAATATTTTTTTTCTTTCTATTACGTAATATCAGAGGAGGAGCCTGCTTTTTTTTATAACTCAGTATGTGTGACATATTTCGTTCTCTTTTCTCTTTTATATATGTTGGAAGAAAGTATCCGTTTTCGGGTACGATGGGATGTGACACATTTGCTTACTTACGAAACACTTTCATTTATATTATCATACTCGTCCTCACCCACAGTCAAGACAGTAAAATGGTTTTTATATCGTGTTATTTAGTGATAATATGAGTAAAAACATATATAACAGTTTTATCTTTGCGCAGAGTGAAATAGTCATGATGCAAACATTTATTAATCTGCGTATCATTTGTTTCAATATATAGTGCTTGGGACGTGAAAGCATACAAAAATACATTATCCCAAGAGTTGATGGCTTCATTGACGGAAAATCTTGATGATCCGAATAGTGTATGGCTCGATGTTGATGGGTGTGCGTGTGATTTCATTGAAAAAAAGATGAATATAGCGTCCTTTAGAATAGAATGATAGAGTAATGGAATAGACGCTAAACAAAGAAAAGATGCATGAGAACCGACTGTAGAAATGCATGTGAATGAATAGACGAGACATAAATTTGGAAATGTATCAGATTAGTAGCAACACAGATAGTTTAGAATTTTCTATAGATCGTTTATAACGAATTATTAATATCTTGTTTGTTCATTGGTGACTTTTTGTGTTGCTGCTGATGATGATTCCATTCTTGTTAACATTGTTCTGGGAGGTTTCTTTATTATCAACATGCTTTGTAAACTAAGATTCAATATTGTACCTAGAATTAATCGAGTATGTTTGAATCCTGACGCTGGATAACATATTAGATATTTTCCTCGGTGCACTTGAAGAAGTCGAAAATAAAAATTTTGACAAAGCTGTTCAAGTAAGTACACATGAATATTGTTATTATTAACGACTGCTATTTATATCTGTAGATGTTAGATTTGATTATTAATCAAATACCACAGCCACTTGAAGAAAAGCATAAACCAAAGCTGATTAGAATTTTAAGACATAGATGTGATGCAAACTTTCGAGCTGAATCGTATCAAGGTGACTGAATATTTTTCTTAGGAAGATAACAAAAATTCATAGCCAATGGTCACTGTTTTTGCGACTCTATATTCATCTTTTCTTTATTCGTTTACTAAATAAAAGTACATTCCAGATGTCGCAGGTCGAACATTACGACGGCTTGATACGATCGTAAACGGCCGCTTACGGCAACGTATATGTAACCTGGTTTTACTACAAAAAGAAAATCTGAATATTTCTTTTCTAGAGAATCACGTATTTGTTCATTCATTATGGACCAACTTGAAACACTCAATATCTGTCATACTAAATGTAAGTACGCTTGTAATGAACTTTTGCAGAGGTTTTACGGGTCTGTCAAATATTCAATGAGAATATCCGGTTTGAAACTTGAGAAATATACATGTTGTTTTTCAATAATGAATCAGTCATAAGAAGCAAATGTTTAAAAAACCAACTTGACTTTTTCCGACATCATTTCAATCGATAATGCTTCATTAAAAAAATACGAAAATTTCTCAAAAAGACTTCGAAACGAGAAAATCTCATGAGCAATACATTCATAAATGAAAATATCTACATAAAGTTTTTTTTAAATAAAATCTATGCTGTTAATGCATTTATAAAGTCTTTTCTTTCAACTTCTCAGAATCTTACACATATCAATATATTGCTATTCTTGAAATATTCATTTTTAATTGAACTGTTTTGTTTCGAGCTCGATATTACCTGTCATTGTATATATGCATCATTTGACTGAATCCACTTTGTTACTTAATGATTTATTCTTTTTTTTTAATTAGTTAAATCCAAGTGGTACTCTAATTGTTTGTTGAAATTCGAAGTTTTGGACTGTGACTTTTTTTACGGAGTAAGTTTGTTGAAAGTAAGCATTTCACAGAGACGAAAGTAGTTAATATGAAAATAAAAGAAAGATTTATTTCGAAGGATGAAACGGGTAATTCAATCACGGTCGTAAACGACTGTGTACGGAGAAATACGACACGACGATATACGAGCGTAATACTGAGTCATGTATTACGGCCAAAATACGACGGTATATGGACTTCGTAATCCTCGGCCTGGGCATACACAAAAAACAAAAATAGATATTTCCGTATGTTTCGAATATCGTAAGTTGACGTACAAAACTACTTTTGAAAATTAGTTTTGAATATATGTTTAGATGTATATAAAGCAGCATGTCAATTGGTTCAATATGAAAAAATTAATCCATATACATTTGATTGATATGAACGTGCATCGTCATATCAAACTTCAAAAACAAATTTTTCTTTGTTCATTGTGTCGAAAGTCTGTGGTTATTAATTCGCGGAGTTACATGTTTATATTTCAAATTAAATCGATATTTTGTGTTTGTAATAAAAGGAACTTGAAAGATCATCAAAGAGTTTTTTTTTGTCATTACATTTATTAAATAATAAACATGTCTTATGCGTTGGTAGGTTTATGCTAGTTATTATATTTTTGTCCACAATAGTAACGATGAAAACTATCTTTTATCACACTCTGATCTAGTGTTTCAAATGATAATGCTGATGCACCATGGATTTTTTGTCCTGCGAAATAAACAGACCATGGGTCTTTTGAATAGCCAAAAGCAGCAAGAGGTTGTATTAATGACATTTATACAGAGCAACAGAAAAAATCAAAGGAATTATTTTCAATATCTAAAAGAACTATAAAATAATCGAGATGAATAATGAATCTGATCAAGGGGGCAGTAACTGATTTCAATAGCTGAAATCAACTTGAAATCATGTGAAATCACTTGAAATCACTGAAATCATCTGAAATCATTTGAAATCATTTGAAATCATCTTAAATCATCTTAAATCATCTTAAATCATCTTAAATCACAAGAAAGAATTGGTTTATGCATGCATTGCGGGAAAGATAAAAATCCAAGAAAATTCAAAATTTTCACAGAAAAAATCTAGATTTTAGCTTTTGCTGTCAAATTCTTCACGGTAATTTGAAATACTTCAGGATTTTTATTTTTGGGTGTGGGTGTGGGTGTGCGTTGTGGATGAGAGTACACTGGGAAAAATATAGCACCACACGGAACCATTTTTGAAATGAATTCTAAATTCTCAAAAAGGTTTCGTAAAAGCCCAAGATAGTCTCACAATTATTTTCAAGAGTCCAGGAAACTTTTCCGAAGGTTTTGTGGAAAACCTACGAAACCTAAAAAAGGTACAGAATTCGTTTCAAAGTGCGAAACCCTTTTTAAGTTTCGTAGTATCTGCGAAACCATTTTAAAGTTCAGTGAGAAAATTCGAAACTTTCTTGGTGCCGTGTGGTGCTATTTTGTTTTTCAGTGCACTCTTTGCTGTAGTGAGTGAAAAAGTGTTAGTCTTGGTCGTTTTGCCTTTCTGTATTTGAAAATTGTAATCATGAAGATAGTCTTAGTCATCGAGTCTTTATGCTTTTTTAGCAAGAGTCGTAAAGTCAGTACTGTGTGTTAGAGTCTTGGCATCTTTCAAAACGGCTGCATGAAATTAGTGAATGTTGTTAAGTGTAATATTCGATCGAACTCAGAGTCATGAAACATTTTGTGTATTGATGTCAAAGTCTTTATGGTAGTCTGACTTCTGGCATCCTTATTGCTTTCGAAGGAACTCTGCTGATGTCGTTTGAGGTCTTTAGTTTTGTTACCTTTGAATTGTAGTTTTGGTGTTCATATTTGCTATCGTACGTTTACCGGATCAGTTTGAGAACTATATGCTACGATGTACAACAATAAATCTCGACTATTTTTTCATCATTTCTCTCATATCACTCTTCTATATAAATCGGTTAAGAGGATGCTTAAATGGCCGAAACTTACACTGTATTCCGTTGCAATCTATTAACAACGATGAGGGCACTTGTACTTCGACGAAACATAAATGAACGACGAAGAAGAAAGGCGACATTCTTTTAACGACCTGATTATTAAGTTCAGCTCTTCAGTCCTCCCAGTAGAGTTTTTCACAACCCATCTAAGTTTTTAGGTACTGAAAGATGTGAAAAGGAGTCGATCTACTTACTGTCGGGAACTACGTATGTTTTGAATTCTCAGATCCCTAATGATTTTATACAATAACTGGACATAAAGTGACTGAGCGCTTGGTATCATGCATGTCGAACAATTCATAAACCTCTAAAATAACGGTGGGAACATAAGCATTAAAAAGAAGATGCCTCAATGTTATTTCGATGTGTCAAAATACTTGACGAGTTTCAAGAATATTTTCTCGGAAGCGCAAGGATTTTCTGAGGATTCGCCAACTCTTCGAAATTTTCGGGATATATTCAGAGACCATGCTTAATTCCGTGACTTTCACTGTTTGTGTTGTACGGAAATCAAAATTGGTTTTTAAAAGTAGCACCAAGGTTTCTGAAAAAAACGTTTTTTTGATAAAGTGATTGATTCACAGAACGAATGTGTTTTCTGGACTGAAAGGATAGGTTTTAGAAACGGAAATTCATCTATGTCTGCCTGCAACACTTCGTACAAATGACTATAGCTTTGGCACAACTGACTACATCGATGATAGAGAGGACCACTACCATGGTACAAGGGACCATATCGATGAAATCATGATTGCAAATATGACAAAATAAACAGTTGATGTTATAAAAAACTTCCCACCCTTCCACCCCCTCTCACTTAAATTCAAGGGGTAGATAGTATATCTTGTATATAATAGATGCTATAAGTTCCTACCCCTTCCACCCCATCTAACTTAAATTCAAGGGGTAGATAGTATATCTTGTATATAATAGATGGTATGAATTCCTACCCCTTCCACCCCATCTAACTTAAATTCAAGGGGTAGATAGTATATATATATTTCTTGTGCTAGTAAAATATTTAATCAATTTCGTTTTTTTATGAATTTTTTAGAATCTTTTATTATTCATTCTGAGTAAAAGTTTTACATTGCATTTATGGTAACATTAACATGTTGTTGGCTATGGTATCGGAGTTGTATACACTCTAAAAAAAATAGGCTTTTTTCAGAACCTAAAAAAGGTTCTTATCCTCGGTACACCGTCAGATCCTTTTTTTGGTTTTGTAAAAGTGAGGTTTCGTACAAACCCCTTCCACGATAATTCCAAAAAAGGGTTTTGTAGCAATGGTTTCGTGAAAAACCTTTTAAAAATCATTCCAAAAAAGGTTTCGTACCCAACAAAGGTTCCGTCAAAAATTTCATTTAACCTTCTGGTGCCGTCCGCGGTGTGCACACTATTCGAGTATTTCTCAAAACCCGAGTACGGTATACATCAAATGAATCAAAAGTAAGATGAAAGGGTCCATAGAGTAATTTTCTGCATTCAAGGAAAATCATTCTATAGCCTATTTCATCTTGCTTTTGACTCATTTGATGTATAACCGTACTCGGGTTTTGAGAAATACCCGAATAGTGTGCACACCGCGGACGGCACCAGACGGTTAAAACCAACTCCACCACCTGATTTCCATAATTGAAACAACCTAAAATACAGAAACGAATTAATATAATCATTATATAAGGTCAAACTTACTTCACTATTCTTTTACTCGAAACAATCTAAAATAAGCAAATTAGCAAAAAATTATTATTAAGTAAAATCACACTTACCTAAAAACACCATCTCTACATTGACCTAGAAATACAAAAACAAATAATTCTTTGATTTGCTAAGTCAGAACTTACCTAAAACTGCGTATAAAAATCAACCTAGAACAAAAAACAAATCAAATATATTAAATTATACACGATCGAACTCACCTGAAATTGTATCTTTGCGCCCTGCTATAACTAAACAAAACAAATTTCTTTATTTTATGAAATCATATCTACCTGCAACATTCTATATGAATGAATCAAAAACAAAGAAAAAAATTATTCTCTTTCATCGCATCAAACTTACCCCAGAATTGACGCTAGAGTTGAAATATAAAGCCTACTTTGTGAATTTTGGGCTCCAGATTGACAGATTTTCTCAGCCATGAGAGCTCGGATAAAAAACTGATAACGGATTTGGACTCTCCGACCCCGATAAGCTATAGAAAGTTTGACATAGATAATAAACTGGTGAAAACTTAGGTGCAAAAACTATGAAACCTCGAGAGTGCCTACGAAACTTCAGTGGTTTGGTAGAAAATATACGAAACTTTGACATGGATAATAAAGTGGGAATCGTTCAGCTGTAGAAGTACGAAATCCTCGAATGTTCGACGAAACCAGCAATTGTTTTGCAGACAATATTCCAAACCTTTTGACAGTTTAGGGAAACATCAATCGTTCCGTGGGCATATTACAAAACCTTGATGCCGTTCAGAAGGTGTCGATAAGTTCCGCATAAATAATACGAAACCTTACGATCGTCCGAGAAATCAACAATGGTTCCGTGGACATATTCCGAAACCTTAAATCAGACCAGAAAGTGTCGATAAGTTCCGCATAAATATTACGAGTACTTCAGACCGTCCGCAAAACCTACAGTGGTTCCGTGGGTATATGACGAAACCTTCTGCAATTGCACAAATCTATCAGAGGATTTGTACGTGACGTACGAAACCACAAACCACTTTACCGAACTTTCGAAGAGTTCAGGCGCAAAATTGCGAAACCTGATGAAATCTGCTGAGCTTAAAATAGTTCTGAAAGGAGACCACGGAACGTTTTCCACTCCACGGAACTTAAAATCGTTCGGTGGAGAAATGCGGAACTATTAAGGTTCTGTAGAGTACCGATTTTTTTTAGAGTGTTGAGTGTCTTCAATTCAATCAAATAACATGTAAGTATCAGTAATTTTTCAAATAAACAATGTTCTTTTCTTTTTCATTTCAGAGGTGCAACTTACAATTTTCTATTCATTTTTTCATTTGACTTATCTAAACTATGTATTCATTCTTTCTCTCTTCTCTTCTTTAGAATGTATTCGCGTATCGATCATCAACAATCAAATAATCTAAAATAACAATAAGTAAGTATTCAATATTTTCGTTTCATGGGTGCAAATTGGAATTATCGTAAGTACAATCATTTTATTTTATTTCTCCTTTATTTAACTTAAATAAAGTATATATTAATTTTGTTTTGTCTCTTGTTTAGAATGCGTGTTCACACCGATCAATAGCAATAACGCTATTAATATGGAAATAGTAAATATATTCCAAATTTATTATTACATCAAATATTTTTAAAGATTTACTTCTTTCCTTTTCTTTTTTCTAGATATTCTATTATGAGACTTGGAAATGGTTGACAAACAGTTACGAATTAAACTGTATAAGTATAAGTAATTTTTAAAATAAACTATACTTTTCTTTTCGTTCCAGGGGTTGCAAGTTGCCATTATACAAACTACAATTATTTTGTTTTATTTCATCTAATATGTATAAATTAGATATTCATTTTTCTGTTTTTCTCTTCGTTAGGTTGTGTTTATTGCGTATCAATCAAGAACAATCAATAGAAACAAACTATAGAGAAGTATTGAAATAAATAGTATTTCCTTTCTGTTTGAGAGGTGCAAGTTAAAATTCTACAAATTAAAATCAGTTTATTTCATTTTTTCTAACATAAATTAATTATCTAAGCATCTGTTTTTCTTCTTTTTATAATGTGTTGGTGTATCGATTATGAACAATCAACCCGAAATATCTTCAAGTAAGAACTATTTCAATAAACAATATTTTTCTTTTATTTTCGTTTCAGGGATACAAGTTGTGATAAAACAAATTAAAATTACAATCATTTTATTTTATTTTATTTTATCTAACATAGATAAACTATATATTAATTTTCCTTTTCTTTTCTTCTTTAGTCTGTGTTCACATATCTATCAAGAAGATTCAATTTGCAATAATTATCATTAAATATTCAATATTTTATTTTCATTTTCATTTCAGCGATGCAAGTTACAATTCCACAAATAACAATTATATTCGTTTCTTTTTCTCTAATTTAACATAAACATCTGTCAACAGCAATAATTTTATTAGTTTGCAAATAGTAAATATATTCCAAATTTATTATTACATCGAATATTTTTCTATAGATTTACTTCTTTCCTTTTCTTTGTTCTAGATATTCTATTTTCCTTTTTTTTAACGGTTGACAATGGTTAGGAATCAAATTGTATAAGTATAAGTAATTTTCCAAATAAACAATATACTCTTCTTTTTCATTTCAGTGGAGCAATTTGGAATTGTACAGATGACAATGGTTTTTGTTTTCTTTTATCTAACTTAAATAAATTCTATATTCATTTAGTTTTATTTTCTCGTGTTTAGAATGTGAGTTCACATCGATCAACAGCAATAATGTTATATTCATTTGATTTACTTGTAACTTTTATTTTTTATTCTAGATCTTCTATTATATGATTCTTGGAATGGTTAATACTTATAATTATATCAAGGGTTATATGTGTGAGGTATGATGCTTCTGTATAACATAATCATTTGTATCTTCTTTTTCGTTTCAGACGTGCAACTTACAATTTTTTCTATTTCTTTTCTGTATTTAAAATAAATAAACTATACATATTTCTTTTCTCATGTTTATAATTTTGTTCATATATTAATCAATTCAAATTTACTTTTCTTTTTTTTTCATTTTAGATATAAAATACTTATTTAATTATATGTCGACGAGAGGTTCGTATTAGTTTACTTAATCCTTTGTTCTATATATGACAGCCTGTCAGAGCGGCTTCGTTGCCTGACCCAGATAGATTCTTCGTGTCACTCTGTTGCGGCGAAGTAGTGTAGTACTCGGGGAAGGCCTCGACTGATGTTCGTATGGTCCCTGACGTCGTACGTACGTACGGGATGCCTACGTTCATTGCCTTACCAGTCCGGCGTGGTCCGCTCTATGCGTATCCGTATCTGGACGCAAGGCAGGTCTTTCTGGTCGCGCGCGCACGTGCGTACACGCGAATAGTAAATAATCAATAGTTATATTAAAGCAATTTATTTGAGTAAATACTAGAAAAAAACAAAACATTTACAACTTCTCTTTCACTTCTTCTATACTATTCATTACACTCTTAATATCTGGATGTGTTGAAGGAAGTGATTTTCGAAAGATACCAAGTGCTTTTTCTAGAAGTGAAAGTGCTTTTGAATATTCACCAGTTTTGTTGTAGATATCGCCAATACTCCAGTATGAAATAGCCAAATCGGGATGAGTCGGAGGCAGAGATATTTGAAATATTTTGTTTGCTTTTTGATAATATTCAAGTGCTTTCGGGTATTCACCCATGTTGTTATACACTCCACCGATGTTGTCGTATGAAATAGCCAAATGGGGATGAGTCGGAGGCAGAGATATTTCTAAGATTTTATTTGCTTTTTCGTAATATTCAAGTGCTTTCGAGTAATCCCCCATGTCGTCATATCCCATCGCGATATTGTTATAAGACGTAGCTAACGAGAGATCATTTTCTGATAGAGTTTCCTCGTCAATCTTGAGAGCTTTTTCTAAAAACGAAACTGCTTCCTTGTATTGCCCTTGGTCTCTTTTGACCCATCCTAGAAGATTATAAATATTAGCTCTATCACTATCAGTGGAAGCATTCACGAGTAATTCATTGTAGAGTTCCTCAGCTTGATTGAAATGACCCACCTGGAGCATTAATTGACCCATTCGATACCATCCTCTACCGTCGATCTCCTCTTTGATGAGATTAGTAAGACCAGAAAGTTGTGGATCTTCGTCACCAGTAATAGTCAATTGTACTTCCCAAAGTCGACTATTCTTAGGCGTCTGTGTAATTTCAACGATACGAAAAACAGTATGCACTGTAAAAAGAATTTCTTGTTCTTGTGGAAGAGCACTGTGTTTATCAATCATTGCAAATGGTGTAATTGAACTTGATATTTTACTTGAATCTATTGTCATAATAAACATAACACCAACAATATCTTGATTCCTCTTTAGAGCGTCTTGAACAAATGATGTGGCCACTTCTCTTTTCTTTAGATGAATTCAATTATTATATCATCTTGATAAAACAGAATAATACATAGAGTGCGGTGCAAATAAGTAATTGTCGAACTCTTCAATCAGACTTATCAGTCTATAGGAACCATCATGTGTAGAGTCAATCCTTTTTTTCTTATCGAATAGAACGTCATCTAGAGTAGTTTTGAATGATATGTGATTTGTAAATTTACTATCATTTTATACTCGATGACACATAAAGAAAGAGACTCACTTCATCGATAAAAATTGAATAACGGCGTTATTGCAATCGCACTGTGACCCCTTTTAGCTCTCCGCTATGTTCACTACCCATGTAAATAAAATAAACCTCTCCCTATAATAGAAGACTCTTTAGGAAAAATAGTTTGATATTTACAATACAAGACCCCGGTTTTTTAAAAGCAAAAATTACTTGATTAGAATTTTTTTGTTGAGTTATTGCTGAACTGAGTTTATTGGATAATAAACTTCACGACATTATAGAAAAGAAAATATCAACTTATCTATGCAGAAACAGAATGTATCTTCGTCTAAAATAATGTTCGACCAGAAAGCACACAGTTGTACGAACAAGAGAACGAATAGTATTATTTAGTTATATCGATATAATACATATTATATCGGAATTGACGGAAAAGGCAGAAAGGAAAAACGTCGAATACTTCAAAAAGGTCTGAGGCCATCATAGATTTTATGATTGCTCAAGATACAACAGGATGAAACTGTGAAGTTTTAGAAGTGGGTACGTCTGACCACTATCCAATCATCTACACTTCACCCTTTTCTATAAATAAAAATTCATCTGTTCGAAAAACCAACTGGTCAATATTCTCATTTATCCTAAAATGCGTATTTGAGTATTTCAATTGTCTAGTTTATAACATCGATCATGATGCGTTTTTCGAGCTATTTTCTAATTTCTTATCAGGTTTATGGGACAGATGTAGTATTTATGAAAACGTGGAAAAATATAGGCCGGTAACAGTCTAAAATGTCCCCAAAAAAACTGTCCTTGCAAAAATGTCCCCGACATTTTGTCCTTGAAAAAATGTCCTTCGGTAAAAATGTCCCTGAGAAATGGTCCTTAGAAATATTGTCCTCCGAAAAAATGTCTTTCATTTTCAAGATGTGCTTTCTGTAGAGCATGAACTAATCTTATTCATAAAAGCAATCATGTGATATAATCAATAAAAACGAATAAAATTCCAATTTATTTTCCACTGGCGACAAAAGAAGAAAGTTCTTTTAATAATTCTTGTGGGTCAACTTGTTTGTTGTCGAATGATTCATATAATTCTTTGATACGTTATTGCGCAATTTTGACTTGGGACGCTTTCCACGAGGTTTCATTCCGCTATTAATTTGAAAAATTAGGTTACGCAGTCACTTTTCCAGAAAATCTTATAAATGTATCATCAGAATTTGTATGCAAAATTACATTACAACTTCGGTTTATACGTCGCCGACATTTTATGGTTTTCTTTCGATTAAAATTGTAAAATTGGAAATTATAACCATCAACAATTAACATAAATTTTCCTTTACTCGTTTATGTTTTTGTAATAGTTGGTTTAGTAGGACTTGGTTGTAAAAATGAATTTTCAGGTGATTGAGATGACCATGAACATTCAGTTTCATCAATAGTTGTCAACTTGTTAGATCCCATTGAAAATGTCTTTTTACGATTACGGAAAAATATTACACAAAGCAACGAATGATATTCAAACGATATATTCTCCCTTCTTTATTGAACTATTTATACGGTAATCCTATCTTCTACAATAGACAATTAAAATAAGCGCTGATATTTTTCTGGTAAACTCAACTTTGGTCGACAGTTAAAATGTCGACAGTTAAAAATGTTGAAAGTAAAAATGTCGAAAAAAATTCATAAAAATTGAATTAAAAATTCTAAAAGAAGGAGTGTTTTGAAAGATATTCGATGAATATGTTATTATTGTAGGATTGATGGCGACTTATGTTCGTTTAAATCTATCATTAGTCTATCAGACATTGGTCACTTAGTACAATCTAATAGAAAAGAATAAGAAAATTATTCTTCGATTATTCATTAGTCGAGTGATAAATATACATATGGAAGCCGCCACCGAATCGACACACAACATCAACAGTGATTTAAATTTGATTAATTCGAATAAAGGACAATCTCTTTTAATAATGAAT